CGGCTACCCCGTGTCCTCCAGGGCTCAGCCCCAATGTCACCTTGTCAGAGAGAACATCCACTTCTCCCGAAGCCCCTCACACCACTGGGCGCTCCTCACCTCGAGGCCCCGTGTTAGTCTCTTCGGCACTCTGGAAAGTTCACTCTGACATTTTCTTGTCTGTGTGTCTGCAGTCTGTCTCCCCTACGAGAATGTGTGCCCCAGGGCCTGACCCACAGCAGGATGGGAGGGAGGCCGGGTGGCCAGCCCGTGGTCTGAGTCCCTTCCGCAGCCTGGCCCATCACCCGGAAGGCAGTCTGCTCAGCCGTGCAAGGGTAACATCTGGCACAGCGTTGGCAGAGGACTGGTGCTCCAACCCTAGCCATCAAATAAATTACCAGCCGAAACCGGTTTGGCTCAGTGGATAGAGCGTCGGCCTGGGACTGAAGGGTCCCAGGTTCGATTCCAGTCAAGGGCATGTACCTTGGTTGCAGGCACATCCCCAATGGGGGGTGTGCAAGAGGCAGCTGATCGATGTTTCTCTCTTATCATTGTTTCTAACTTTCTATCCCTCTCCCTTGCTCTCTGTAAAAAAAAAACAATAAAAACTATATTAAATAAATAAGTGAACAGACACAGGGACATTCCTCTGAAAGTCTGAGACTCCAAACCCCTGGTCCTGCCCTCCCCCGTTCTCGGCTCTGCCCTGAGCTCTTGCAGTTCCACTAAAACCTAAAACACAGGAACATTCCCAAGCTTCTAGTCTATTGGAACTCCCCTGACAGCTCTGATTCCCTCACACACACACACACACACACACACACACACACGCCCAGGCACAGACGGGATGAGAAGCCAAAATGGACTTCTCTATCCCAGCTGAAGTGAACCTCCTAGACCTGGATCCGGCCCCCAGGACAGTATGGGTCCAATGCTGACATCTCGACTGTTGGGATGGTGTCCAGGTTCCCTCCATCCGCAGTGACACCAGCATGCTGTCCACAGCCTTCCTCACCAAGCCACTCATAAACACACTGAGCAGGACTCAACCCGTGTCAGTCACTCATCAGCCCCCCACCCCTGGCTCACATGCCTCTGTCTCCTGCAAGGCTTTGCTGATGAAAAAACAAAACAAAACATTTATTGCTGAAAAGCACAACCCTTACGTATTTCTAGACTGGAAAACTAATCGGAAAAGCAAGTAAGCTTCCCCAGCAGGGAGGATTCTAGGGGCATCCACTCGCAGTCCCCTTTCCTAGGTGCCCCCACCCCATCTCTGTCATAACAGACTCTACAGCTTGGCCAGGACTGATTCTAACTAAGTTCACTTGTTTATGGCTGATGGACTTATTTCCTCTTCGTAAAGGTAGAAAGCACCTTCCCTGTCTCCTGCCCTTGGCACAGGCTCTAGCTTCTGAGAAGCAGTGTGCAGAGTCGCAGTGAGCACTGCCACTTACTAGCTGCTTTTATGGAACCTCTGCACCTCGGTTTTGCCATCTGAAAAATGGGGAGAACAATAGCACCAAGATCACAGCATTGTTATGAAGAGTAAATCAATTTTTCCTGCAAAACATTGACAACATGACATGTAATAAGCACTCAAAAATTATCGATAAATAGCCCGAGGTGGTTTGGCTCAGTGAACTGAATGTTGGCTTGTGGACCGAAAGGTCTCAGGTTCGATTCGGGTCAAGGGCACATACCTGGGTTGCCGGCTCAGTTGGGGGCATGCAGGAGGCAGCCAATCAATGATTATCTCTCATTATTGATGTTTCTCTCTCTCTTCCTCTCTCTTCTTCTCTGAAATCAATAAATATATATATTTTTTAATTAATGATTAATAGTCTATCATAAAAATTAGTACAGTCATGGAGTGGTGGCAGCCTGCTCTTTAAGCATCCTGGGATGCAGCCTTCCCAAATGTGAAAGCTGAAGTTGTTTCAAATGGCTCTATCCTGTCTTATGATTGCTTCTGTCTTGGTTGTGCCTGCAACCAAGGTACATGCCCTTGACCAGAATGCTCTATCCACTGAGTCATGGACTCTGCTCTCCTCCTGTGATTCCAAAGAGCATCCTTGTTCTTTGGCTCAGAAAACAGAGCAGCTCCCCTCGCCTCAGGCCATTTGAACCGCTCTCCATTCTTCCTTCCTCTTTTCTTGGGCAGATGTAACTGGCCCACCTCAGTCTCGAGCTAGCCTCTCTATCAAATTCTTACAGGTTCTGAGCTACGTTCTGTTCATTTGTCTTCCATTCAGTGAGCTCCTTCTCTGGGCTAGGACCTCAGGAGACAGAGGAAAACAATGTGGAAAAGGCCTTACATCCCAGGGGCCACAGGGCGGTGAGCAAATAGACCCATGAGATCCTGTCAGCTGGTGGTGAGAGCTTGGAAGGAAAGAAGATGAGGGAGGAGCTAGTTTATGTCAGAGGCACTTGGCACACAATAAGCTTCGCAGGTGCCTGAAAATGAACCCACGTCCCCTTCTGTCTGGGTGTCCTAGGATGCTCCTAAGGCAGCCACAATGCCTCTTCCTTTTCCCCTTCAAACAAGCACAGCTGTACACTCAGAATCTCATTCCTGCGCCCTTCTCAGTACTCTTGTCTCAAGCTCTAGAGCAAGCATGTCAAATTCAAAGGCTAACACAGGCCGAATAAACAAGGTTTAAGTTCATGTAGGCCACAAAAAAACAAAAGCTTCAGTTTTCATAGAAACGTAGGTTTAGCCCTAGCTGGTTTCGCTCAATGGACAGTGTGTCGGCCTGCAGACTGAAGGGTCCCGGGTTCCATTCCAGTCAAGGGTACATGCCCAGGTTTCATTCTTAATCTCCAGTAGGGGGCATGCAGGAGGCAACGGATCAATGATTATCTCTCATCATTGATGTTTCTATCTCTCTCTCCCTCTCCTTTCCTCTCTGAAATCAATAAAAATATATTTAAAAAGAAATGTAGGTTTATTTCGACAGAGACATGCTGAATACAAGGGCTGAAATAAATAATTGTTAACATAAAATAATAGAAGACTTTTATAAAAATTAATATTTTTTTCTTGAGCATGAACTTACCAGACACTGAATAACTACACAAATTAATAAGCATAACGCAAATAAACCTATTTTTCTTGTTCTCGGAAAGAGAAATAATTCCTGTTGCACACACCAAACAAGTCAGTCCAAGACTGAATGACATGGCAATTGGCTGCTAAAATATTTGCTCCTAGTATTGAAGCGAATGTAAGGCACATAAAGGAAATGAATGCAACACGATTATAGTAATCGGTCATTAGCAAACATTGTAGTTTGTTATTAATAATTATGTATAACAGGATATTGTAAAAATTAAGTTACAGAATTTTTATTAAAACATTTCTTACTGCCGAAACCGGTTTGGTTCAGCAGTAGAGCGTTGGCCTGCAGACTGAAAGGTCCCGGGTTCAATTCCTGTCAAGGGCATGTACATTGGTTGCGGGCACATCCCCGGTAGGGGGTGTGCAAGAGGCAGCTGGTCGATGTTACTCTCTCATCAACATTTCTAGCTCTCTATCTCTCTCCCTTCCTCTCTGTAAAAAAATCAATAAAATATAAAATAAAATAAAAACATTTCTTACAGACGAAACTGGTTTGGTTCAGTGGATAGAGCATCGGCCTGCGGACTGAAGGGTCCATGGTTCTATTCCGATCAAGGACATGTACCTTGGTTGCGAGCACATCCCCAGTGGGGGGGGGGGGGGGGGGGGAGGGTGCAGGAGGCAGCTGGCCAATGTTTTCTCTCACCGATGTTTCTAACTCTCTGTCCCTCTCTCTTCCTCTCTGTAAAAAATCAATAAAAAAAATTTTTAAAGCGTTTCTTACATACCATTATATTGGCTGGGCTGCAAAAATATTCGTTGTGGGCTACGAGTTTGACATGCTTGCTCTAGAGGCGTTTCTGCCCTTTCTCTGCATTATTTGAAATCCACCTCTGGAACCCAAGGCACTGTTCCCTGAACATCAGGAGTTCCTGGGTGGCCTGAGTCACCTTTCCCTGGGCTCCTGTCATGTCCACATCATCACTTAGTCCTTTCTTTCTCTTTCCACAGAACTGGGTCCCGAGTACCCGTCCACCTCACGGCTTCCTGCACCTTCTGAAGTCACCAGTGAGATAAGAGGGAGCAGATGCACTGCTCTTAGCTAACTGGGGTTCCTGGCAGATGGCGCTGAAGTGAAGGTACCCATCACGTCTACACTTCCTTCCCGGGGCCAGTTCGGGGAGCTGCGTCAGAGCATCGTCCCTGTCCTCCAGTCGGCCAGCCCACGGCCTACCCCCCGGACGGCATCACTTCCGTCCCTCTTCCCTTCAAACACCCCTGGAGGAGAAGCCACTCGTCCTGGGCACCCAGGCTCCTGCTCGGTTAGAATCTAGGGCAAGGGGGTCCTGATGGGCAAGTGGGAAGGAAGGTCCAGGATCGGTCTAGCGGAAGCCCTGGGAAGGGCTGTGGCGGCGGCAGGGCCACAGAACAGCTCTGTTGAGACCACTAGCACCGGTCACACCTGTCACAGTATGAATGAAGAGTGGGCAGGAGCCTGGGAGCAGGAATCTGGGCCCGGAAAAGCCCTCGTCGCCCAGCCGGTCACCCAGACGGCGGGCCCCAGCCGGCTCCTCTGGCATGGGGGAGGAAAGAGACAGGGAAGGCAGGGCTGCCTCCGCCTGGGTCAGAGCAGGGGCTGCCCGGCAAATCTGGCTTTCCTTCTCCCTCTTAAAGAGGGACCAGCTGGCCTCCAGGCTTGGGGCATCTCTGCAGGCCTCCTTTCACTTGAGAACCACGCTCTCCCTCATAGAAAGGAGGGAACACAGGGCCCCAGCCACGTTACAGAGGACAGCGCAGGCCTCGTGAGCTGCCTGAGATCACTCAGTGCCGGACAAACTCCTGGCAGGACCCGGGAGGCCTCCCCACGCCCAGGGTTCCCCCGTGTGGGTTTATGGGCCCGTGTGGCTAAGTACCCCCTGTGGGGGCCAAAGAATGAGACTCGGGGCTGTGGCTCACTCACCGGGAGGGAGACTCGAGGTCAGCTCGGCCGAGGATGCGGTGCTGCTGTGGGCTGTAGAGCCACTGGAAGGCGGTCAGCGTCCTCTCCTCAATTCGGAAGCGCCCCTCCTGCACGTACCTGCAGGCGGGAGAGAGGAGGGAGGTGGGCAGGGCGCTGCAGAGCTCCTTTGAGGAACTGGCCTGGCTTGCTGGGAAAAGACAGACGTGGGGTACCTGTCTTGCACTCACCGCCTCCCCACCTCCCGCCCCGGGGGTATCTGCCAGAAAGACTTTTCCAGAAGGCCACAGTGAAAATTCCCCGAGGAGCCCTCACCAGTTTGGCTCAGTGGATAGAGCTTTTGCCTGCGAACTGAAAGGTCCCAGGTTCCATTCTGGTCAAGGGCATGTACCTTGGTTGCGGGCACATCCCCAGCAGGGAGTGTGCAGGAGGCAGCTGATTGATGTTTCTCTCTCATCAATGTTTCTAACTCTCTATCCCTCTCCTTTTCTCTCTGTAAAAAAAAAAAAAATTAATTAAGCCGAAACCAGTTTGGCTCAGTGGATAGAGCGTCAACCTGCGGATTGAAAGGTCCTGGGTTCAATTCTGGTCAAGGGCATGTACCTTGGCTGCAGACACATCCCCAGTAGGGGGTGTGCAAGAGGCAGCTGATTGATGATTCTCTCTCATCGATGTTTCTAACTCTCTATCCCTCTCTCTTCCTCTCTGTAAAAAAATCAATAAATATATTTTTTTAAATCAATAAAATATATTTTTTAAAAAAGAAAATTCCCCGAAGAGCGGGCAGCTACGGAGAGCAAGTTTCAGCTCACAAGATGGAAAGGCTCTCTAAAAGTTAGCTGTCGGGCGTTGGCAGGAGCCCGTTGGAAGGAGTGAGCTCTCTGTCACGGGAGGTATGTAAGCAGAGTGTGGCTGGGAATTCAAGCATCAGACAAGGGTCCATTCTCCAAGTCCCATACAGTGCTGAGACACTGGGCTTCTTGATTTCACAGCTGAAGGGCTGCTCTGGAGAGGAGGTAAGGAGTCAGATGCCAGGCTCAGATCTTCCAGAACCTCCAGGGTCCCAGCCACCCTCCAGACAGACATTCAGCCGCAGGTAAGGGCAGGGAAAGCTGGGCTGGGCCCAGCGAACACAAAAGGATCTCTCTCACCTTGGCCACCCCCTCCTGGTAGAAACATGAATTCATTGATTAATTCAACATTTACTGCGTGCCTATGGTGATGAACAAAAGAAACTTAATCCCGCCCTGGCTGGTTTGGCTCCATGGATAGAGCATCAGCCTGCACCGAACTGAAAGGTGCCAGGTTCGATTCCAGCCAGGGGCACATGCCTGGGTTGTGGGCTCAGTTCCCAATAGGGGGTGTGCAGGAGGCAGCCAATCAATGATTCTCTCTCATCATTGATGTTTCTCTCTCTCTCTCCTTCTCCCTTCCTCTCTAAAATCAATAAAGATATGGTTTTTTAAAAAGATAGAGACTTAACCCCTGCCCTCCTGGAGTTTACTGTTTTGTGGGAGAGAAACCAGCAGGCTCTTTATACCAGTGGGAGAGGGAGGGGAGGGGTACACGCCTTCCGCTGGACAACCCGGCAATGTCGAAGTTACAATTACCCAATAGCCCCACGATCGCCTTTCGGAGACTTACTCTAGACACTCCAGCATGTGGACAAGGCTGTCTGTGGCATTGTTTATAAAAACAAAAACTGGAAACAGCCCAAGCTCTCATCAGTCAGGGGCTGGTTAAATAAACAGCGGTGCATCCGTGACCTAAGACAGTGTGCAGCCACATTAAAAAAAAAAAAAAAAAAAAAAAAATTCAATGCGGGCATCCCCGGCGTCCCCTAAGTGCTATCGTGCAAAGATCTGCAAGACACATTCTTAAGATAAAATCAGGTGCAGAAGAGCAGTATGTGTACTTTATGTTAAAAGGGGGAGGGAAGGAATAAAGTATAAATTCGTATTTGCTTATCTTTATGTACGGAAACTCTGGAGACACAAAAGCTAATAAAAATCGTTACCTGGGCGGGGAGAAGGGGGAACTGGTGAGTGGGGGCAGAGGGAAGTGGCATTTTTAACAATGTTATCTTTTCATACAAGAGAGGTTTTACCTATTACAAATGTTTGTGCTCGTGCGTGCGTGCGTGTGTGTGTGTGTGTGTGTGTGTGTGATTACAAACTGTGTAAAGTGCTATGAGGAAAAAAAATGTGTGCAACTGAGCAGCTGCTCCGACACTGCCATGGGACCACGGCTATTGGCTGGGGCAGATTTCCCAGAAGGCACGGCTGCTGGGGAAGAGTGTTTCCAGGCTCCCAGGCCGCCCATATCAGGGCATCTGGCTCCTGCCTGCTTCCTTCCCTCTCCTCCCTCGGATCTGATGGGCACTGTGGGAAGGTCCTCCCCGCTGCTGAGTGGGAAATGGCGAGGCAGACAGGGTAGATGCTGTTGCAGGGCTCCAGGTGGGAGGGTGGTGCCAGAGGGGATGGTGCTGGCGAGGGAGTGAAGCGGGTGGGCTCTCAGGCGGCTAAGAAGGCAGCGCTGGCTGCGCTCCCCGGGATGGGTTGGACCTGGGTGAGGGGGAGACAGGTGGAAACGTTGTTCCCCAGCTCCTGGTTTGTGCGGGCACTGGCCTCCATGCCATCCACGCTGGACAAGGACATGTTTGGGAGGGAAGATCCTGTCTTTAACTTTGGACACGATTCTCCTCTGTGACCTGCTTCTTGCCCCACGATGATGCTCCTCCTGTAAAATCTGGCTCAAACCTCGGCTCCTCCAGGAAGCCGCCCTGGTTAATCCCATCCCATTCCGATGACAAGCGTCCATGCCTTTCCCTGTCCTTGGGCTCCTCGGGACTCAGCCTTGAATGACACCCTCTTGCCATCTCTGTGGGAGCAACTTAATAACACCAATTGCCTCCAAAGAAGAGAAGTGAGCCTGGCTGGTGTTGCTCAGTGGTTGAGCATCAACCTATGTACCAGGAAGTCACCGATTCGATTCCTGGTCAGGGCACATGCCTGGGTTATGGGCTCCAATCATTGGGAATCATGCAGGAGGCAACCTATCAATGTCGATGTTTCTTTCTTTCTTTTTTTATATTTTATTGATTTTTTTTTTTACAGAGAGGAAGGGAGAGAGAGAGCTAGAAACGTCGATGAGAGAGAAACATCGACCAGCTGCCTCCTGCACACCCCCCACCGGGGATGTGCCCACAACCAATGTACATGCCCCTGACCAGCATCGAACCTGGGACCCTTCATTCCGCAGACCGATGCTCTACCACCGAGCCAAACCGGTTTTGGCTCGATGTTTCTTTCTCATCGATGTTTCTATTTCTCTCTTCCTCTCTCCCTAAAATCAAATTTTTTTAAATTCTTTTTTAAGAAGAGAAGTGAGTGGCTGGGGAGCATTGTAAATGCTTTAGTGCCCTTTGAATTTGAACCATGGAAATATACTATGCTTTCAAGAAGTAAATATCGTGTGTGTGTGTGTGTGTGTGTGTGTGAACTCTGCTGATGATGGAGTCTTAGGTGATTAGGGCAAAAAACAAACACCAGAGGCCACTCACTGGTCCAAAAGCTGTATTTTACACATGAGGCCATGAGGCCCAGAGCGGACACAGGGCTGGTCAATGAAGCGAGAGCCAAGGCCAGTGGTGGTGACCCCTCACTCCCAGGCTTGACCCCAGGAGGCGCACACAGGTCCCTAGGCTGAGAGAGGAATAGGCCCACACAGGAGCCATCCCCACCCAGCTTCTCTCCTCACCCACCGTCACCCCTACCCACGGGGAGTCCACACAGCCTCGGCCACAAGCACACCTCCCGTCCTTGCTGCAGCCACCTTCTCCTCCCCTCCCCTCCCCTCCCCTTTCCCTCTCCCCCCTCCCCCAGAGACAGGTGCAGGGACTGCCCCCCCCCCCTCCGCCCTCTGCAGGCTCCCCGATGGGATCCCACTCCCCAGCTCCAGTGAGTGAGCGTCCACGTGAGTCCCAGACTCCTCACCCGTCAGGTGGGAGCAATCACAGTGCCCTCTGCGAAGGGCTGTTGCAGGACTCAGTGAGATGTGAGGGCCGCTCTTTGCCACGTGATTTCCTTCCCTTCCCATCATCCTCAGCGGCCAGTCTCCCCGGCCTCACGCCTTTCCCGATGACAGGCAGACACACCCGCTCCCGGCATGTTCTCCTCCAGCCACACAGCAAACCCCGTGGACCTTGTCCATCCCATTGTACAGGTGAGGAAGAGGAGGCTGCGGGAGGGAAAGGGACTTGTCCGAGGTCGTTCTCGCAGGAAGCAGCAGAGGCCGGCCTTCCGTGCACCTGCAGCTGGAGGCATCTGGCTTCCTCTGAACCCGCCTGCTCCTCACCCATCCTCTCCCCCCTCCCCACCCGCCTCCGCTTCCCAGCACCCGGAGGGGTCGCCTCCTCCACTGCAGATCAGCTGTCACCAAGCCGCTCCTCTGATCCTCCCGGCCCTGCTCCCTTCCAGCCCTTTCCGTCCTTGCATGCCACCCCGTCCTTACACACACACACACACACACACACACACACACACACACACACGCCCCCGCACCCCTGTCTTCCTAGAAACGTGCTTCCCCTCTCTTCCCTGCAGAGCCTCCCTCCCGCTCTCCCTCCTGACCTGCTCTCCCTCCGTCTCTACCCCAGACCAGCCCCACCCTCCCGCCCCAACGGCTCAAACCAGCCTCTGAGCATCTGCCCCCAAGCCCCCGGGCCGGCTGGGATCCAGGCCGGCTCCAAGGTTCCAGGATGCTTTGCGTAACCTTGTTCACGTTGCTCTCTGCCCGCCCGCAAGTGAGTTATTTATGAGCCTGTCTGTCTCCCCGGTGCAGTGCAAGACGGTGTCTGAGCGCCTCTGAAACCCCGCCACAGCCTCTGAAAGCCTGCAGCAGCCTCAGGGAAAGCCTGCAGCAGCCTTTGCAGCCTTCTGGTCAACCCAGCCGGCCTGCCGTGCAAATCACACCTGCAACAGTGATCACTGACCCCTCACACCCTGATTATCTCCACTAATAAGTACAACTTCACTTAGGAAGTGTATTTGCTGAATTGGACCACACTGACTACAAGGAAAAACAGGAGACCTCCCATCTCCAAATATCTCCCCGGTGAA